ACTTCAGATGATACACAACATAAGTGTCCACTAGGTGTGGAGGTAGGGTTGGGACTCTCCTCACTTCAGAGTGTGCAGCCGCAAGAGCAGCGCCCATCACCTCCGTTTGGACAGGGGAGGGAGTTAATGAGTTAGAGAGCACATTGAATCCTAGATACGGTTCCACGGCCTTCACCGGTCACAGTCCCGCCCAGGCTGGGATAGGGAGAAAGTTTCCATAGCGACAGCAGCATTCCACATTTCTTCTGAGGGGAGTTTTCACTTCAGCCTCACAGGCTTCAAGGGCACCAGATTCAGAAAACAAGAATTGTTTTGGGTGCAGGCAGAGATAATTTCCTCTCTGCCTTAGAGTTCTGTCGGTCTTCAGCCCCTCCAGGTCCAATAATGGCGCAATCCGTGCTGATCCGTCAACTTTCTCCTTGATCGAATCAACCTTCTGTGCCAGAGCCTGAATCTCAGCCAAAGTTCCAAGCTTACGACTCATCTTGACAATTATATGAGTCTGTGAGTTTACAGCATGATGCATTCATCCCTGAGCTCCGGGATTAAGCCAGTATTCCTCGAAAGCTCGTGGTGCAGAGCGGGAGCAAAACGGAGACAGAGAAAGAGGAAATTCAAACCATCTCTTCCACCGACCATAATGGGCAATGTGAGATCACTGGCCAACAAGATGGATGAACTCCAAGCCCTTTCAAGGACTCAGCCAGAGTTTCGGCAGTTTCGGAACCGCTGGAGGAGATAATGCAAAGAAGGATTCTCCAGAGAATCAAGAAAATTATGGACAACCCTGAGCATTCTCTTCACAAGACTGTCCGACAACAGAAGAGTGTCTTCAGTCAGAGGCTTCTTCAGTTTCAGTGCAACACTGACCGCTACTGGAGATCCTTCCTGCCAACAGCCATACAACAACTCTTTGATGACTTGATTATTATTATTATTCTGAGCTACTACAGCAATCAATTTCCCTCTGGGATTAATAAAGTATTTTTGAATTGAATTGAATTGAATTAATTTTCCGCTATGCCAGGTAACCGCTCAGGCCAAACAGCAGAAATCCTGACACCAACACGCCGAATATCCAGACATCTTCAGAATCCTCCACTGACAGTTGAGACAGGCAGATCAGGTTCCACTGTTTCCAGGAGTCCATGATATACCCAGCTGGCTCTGTCCCAGAGGGGCATCCAGGATCCCCTTCTCCCATTCTCATCATTGAAAATATTTTGTCAATCGCGTTGAGAGACCAACTGACCAGGATCCATGTTTAATAATTTCCAGTTTCCAGAAAAAATGCGGAGAAGCGCAGTGCACAGGCAGACAGGACAGAGAGCCTTGGGAGGAGCATGGAGGGAGAGGAGAAAAAAGCGTCTGTACTCTCCAAGAGCCGGACGAAGAAGGCAATAAAGCTCTGATATCACAATGAGGGTTAACGTGATGAGCGGAACCAGGACCTAAATTCCCGGTGGGCCGATCTGAGGTCGGTGTTTTTAGTCGTCTCTCTGTTTTTCGGGCCTGTGTTCAGTCATGACACTGCTGATCACCTGCTGATGAGAGGATTTCTCCTGTCAGTGGAACAGGTGAGTTGCTGAACAAGCGTTAGTTCCTAGAAACACTTTCTATGCCCAGACCTGTTATTTGTAATTTTATAATTAATATTAATTGAATGCACTAAACCCGCAAATGATAGAGGATAAGATTAAATATTATTAATCATATTACTATCAAATGTAAATAAGTATAACAGATAACTAATCTTAATTAAAAAATGGTATTAATAATTTTTATTTTAATATTGATCATATTCCCTTTCTAAGGTTTGGATGTCTGTGAACATTACAGAATATTCAGACCGGTGTAAAGAACAAGATATTATTAATAACCGGTCATGATCTAAAGCTGGTCTGAGGTATAAAACTCTGCCCTGGGCCTAAAGCCCTGCAGATATATTTAGTTTCTATAAACACCAACAACAAATAAACAACAGCAGCTGGATTCTACGTTGTTCCTTAAATTGAGACACGTAGTTTTGCAAGTTCT